AAAATAATTATGAAAAAGTAATAAAGTTTTATTATATAAAAATACTCAAAAGCCACATCCCATCAAAACAATCGCAAACCAAGCCTTTTATCCACCTTAAAAAAAAATTAGAACAAACTTTTAGAAAAAAAATAGTTATTTTTTTTTTATGACTTTTCCCAGCTATTAAAAATTTAAAGATAATTTATGTATTTACCTATATTATTCTTAAGTAAAAAGATAATGTTAAATGAGAAAAACTCAAGGCTTTAAGAAAAACTCGAGGTTCCCTTTATGAAAAATCCACCACTTACCTAACAAATTTTCAAGACTGGAATCCACCTTAAGTGGGCCCAAAAATATATTATAAAATTATTAAAATTTTTAATAAATCTTAAATAATTTACAATGAATCTTTTAAAATACTTTTAAAATATCAAATACATGCCTAGTTTACATTTTAAAATCTTCAATAAATACCTATCAAAAAAAAATCTTCAATAAACAATTATAAATGTAATTATAATTTTAATTAATAAGATTTCAATTTGATTTCACAAATTAATTTAGCAAAAAAAAATTAATGAACTCCAATAACTTCTCTACTAATTGTTCTCAATTATATTTCAGACATATTATATTATATTATATTATATTTAAAATAGCACTTCACAAATTAATTCTTATTTACTCAATTATTTTGAGAGTGAAAAATAATAATTAAGTTCTAAATAGTTTTGGATAAACATATTAATTAAAAAAGATTATTAAAATATCAAGAATTATGAATAATTACAATTTATAATATGAAGAACCAATGTGTATTAACTTAATGATGACTATATCAACTTTTAAAGGGAGAAAAAATAAGAGTTTTTTTAATATAGGTCCTTAAAATATAAGTTAAAAGTGTATTTATTGCATATTTTAACCATTAAATCTTATAGAAAAAATTATTTTGAGAGTGAAAAATAATGATTAAGTTATAAATAGTTTTGCATAAACATATTAATTAATAAAGATTATTAAAATATCAAGAATTATGAATAATTACAACTTATAATATGAAGAACCAATGTGTATTAACTTAATGATGACTGTATCAACTTTTAAAGGGAGAAAAAATAAGAGTTTTTTTAATATATGTCCTTAAAATACAAGTTAAAAATGTATTTATTACATATTTTAACCATTAAATCTTATAGAAAATTTTAAAAAATTGGTATTAATGTTAGCACTAATGACATGTGTATTATTTCAATTGGTTAGTTGGTAAAATTAAAATCAATCTTTATTTTTCTACGTAATTTAATGA